ACGAAAGTTAACGAACACTTCAATCGGCGTGGCATAATTACTGTTTTTTCAAACCTAAACGTAGGGTCATCTCATTTACGTCGCATCAACCTTGAACTTTTAATAAAGCACGCATTTGGATTGGTTACATTTGTGAAAAATTTATGTGTGATTGGTTATCGTTTTATGAATCTCGGTTAGGCCGAGCAGTGTGTGCTCTGTAAATATGGAAATTTTCAATGGGGTGTCACCCCTAATTTGGTGTCACCCGGTGCGGTCCGCACCCCCCTCAACCCCCCTCGCTACGCCATTGCCCCTGGTTGAGCCTGCGATTTATGGATGACCCCCCCCCCACCCCGCTCCTTTTTTTTCTGAATTACTTAACATTTCCCCTAATTTGGTGTCCCCCGGGGCGGTCCCCCCCCCCCTCCACCCCCCTCGCTCCGCCATTGCCCCCGGTTGAGCCTTCGATTTTTGGATGACCCCCCCCCCACCCCGCTCCTTTTTTTTCTGAATTACTTAACATTTATATTTAATTTACCCTTTGAGATGGTGACCAACAAAAAAAAAAAAAATCTTTGAAAGTGACAGGGATGACAGTGGGGGGAAATCGATTGTGTTAACCGGATCGTATGATGATGAGTTTTAAGAAAAGGAAATTCGATACGCTTTAGTGGGGATCGAAATGAACCGTTCGCCTTATTCGGGTGGCGTAATTTTACAACCAACCCCCAACAGACCTTCGTAAGGAAAACTGTGCCTTCGTATATTTTGAATTAAATTTCACCGTGATGGTTTACTTTCTGTATGATATTTATTATCCACACATTATTCAGGTCAAGTTTCGAAAGATAGTGTATTGGAGATCGTCGATTTTCCGAACGCCAATTATCTGAAACATCGGTTATCCGATTGGTCACTGTTCTTTATTTTCAAAAAAAATAAAAAATTAAAAAATTAAGGAATATCTTCTTTTTATTAACAGTTTAAAAGTACGCGCTTAAACAGGAGCTAAGTTCTGTGAGAAAAAAAATGTGGGAAACTCACCAAAGATGCACCCACCCCCCCCACCCTCCCACCTTTTTCGAAATAAATGTGTATTTATCTTTTAGCAAATGAAGTACAGGAACGCCGTTCCTATTGATTCCTACAAACCTCGTACTATGAGCTTTACTAAATGTTTTTTTAAAAAATGTAAAAATTGGCGGTTATTTTATACAAACATATCAATACGTATCTAAATACGTAAAAATAATAGGAATCTGTCGGGTTATAAGAATCCATACAAAAATATATGTTACTGATTATTTCGGATTAATCTTTATAAAAATACCCCCCCCCACCCCCCAAAAAATATTTTAAAAAATTAAATAAATAAAGTAAAATTGAAGTGTAAATACAGTAGAGCAGTGGTTCAGAACTTTTCTGCAGCACCGTACCCTGTCTTGATTTCAAATTATTTTCCTCACCCTGAATTCGATCTCAAAACATATTTCCCGCAACACCCCCCCACCCCCCCCCCCCCCCCCCCCCCCCCAAATGATAAGAAATTCGAATAAATATGCAAATAAATCCGATTTTTGCACGATTTTACAATGCCCCCCGCACCTGCAGAAGTGCATGCACCCCAGGTTTAAAACCACTGCAGTGGAGTGTAGATTTTTCCGGACTAATGATCAGTTCAAATGATCAAATTTTCCTTAAAAATCTTTTTAAAAGCAATATGTTGCAATACAAAATAATGCGTTCAAAAAGAAATTTGACGACAATTTGATCGGTGAACTGAGTATACAAAATTTTGGATAACCGAACGCTCCTTGTAAAGCTTACACGAAAGACGCTCATGCTTACACAATGTATTCTAAAACGCTATAGACGGGGCCGTCTTTACAGCAGCTGAGACCCTGGGCCCAGACATGCAATGAGGCCCCCTAATCCTCTATATGCTCGTGTGAAGGAGTGGGCGAGAGTGCCAATGACCCCTGGCGCCAATATCAGGAGCGGGAAAATCGTCTTAAAATAGACCCTTAATAGTGATTTCAACGATAAAATCACAGTGTGTCTCATAGAAAAAGAAGCGTGAGGCCCTCTACAAGCGGGAGGCCCTGGGCCCAGTGTCCAGTGGGCCCATGCCGAAAGACGGCACTGGCTATAGAACTACGCATATTGTAATGGTGTCACGTGGTAAGCTGGTTGAGTTTTTTAATTTTATATTTTTTATAAAGATTAGGACTTGATCTATCTTTCTGCGAAAAAAGAAATCTTTGCAAAAATAGATGACTCGCGCTTAGATTAAAATTACAGGTCACTTTTATTCTTCTGATTTTGTGTAAAATTTGATAGACAAATTTTAACCAGCTACAAGATATATAATTTAAAAATAAAGGAACAAAACATTGAGGTACACTACCTCATAATGTACAATAAAACTTTGAACCACATTAGCATATTGTAAATGGAAAGGAAATATAAAATTAGGCCTAGTTATGAACAATTTTTGTTGCTACATCAAAAGCTTCTTCAGCTACAGAGATATGCAAAATATTTAAAGGAGATCATGATTTATATTACAATATTTATAAATAATTTGCATTTTATTAATTTATTTTAATTATTATAAATATTCTGTATTCATTGAAATGAAGTTACATTTACATTAATTTTATCGGTTCATTGATATAATGTCATAATAACGAAGAATGAATCATTCGGCCAAAACTGTCGTCAATTTAAAAATAAAGGCCTGTCCTTTAACCCCTTCGAAATTAAAATACTCCATGTTTACATCCTTATAATTTACTTAAACTAAGTGTTTGTTATTTTCTAGTTTTTCGTGGTTGGACTTCTTTGAGCATATATTTCTCTAGATACCCGATAACCTAGCGAGCTGTTATGACTCTCGCGGTTCATTTTTCAGTATTCAGTTTTGACTTATCGTTGTACTCTTTTTATGATAGTAGGCCTATATCTCTTTGACAGATTTCTTGGGCAATGAAAAACAAAAAAGCATTGGAAGAAATTTAGTAGATGACGAGAACTAACTAATTATAGTGTATAATTGCAAATAAAGTCTCTTTAAATGATAATCTCACATTAATAAAATAATGTAATTCCTGTAGGCATTCTTCCACAATCATTTCATGCATTTCAAGCAAAATAGTTTGCTACTCTGTTTTATCTCGACTTTATTGTAGATCTCGGCAAAGAGTATGACCGAATAGATTGTTTACAAGTTCAAATAACAATAACATTGCTTTCTTCTGAACCATTGAGGTGGTTATATCTTTAAAATCAACATTGGTAGGCTTGGTAGCTTTAACTTTAATTCTAACAAGATAATAATAACCCCAGTTGTTACTCTATTGTAGGCTTACATAAATATGATTATGATAAACACTTTGATTGGGACAAATACTATTAATTACTGGAGAAACATGCTGCTTATCTGGATCTGGCATTTCTGGGCCTGTCTTTTTTTTTTTCTCAACAAGTCTAAGTCAATTGGGCCTACTTTCTTGTTTAATTACAAAATAAAAATGAGTGAAATTACCGACAAGGGCAGAGATGTTATGTAGAAATCGAACATAACAAATAGTTGACTTAAAAATTATTTATAATAAATAAGCCAAAATGCAAAGACGAAAAGTGGGATAAAACTTAATTTTGGAATTTTTATATTATTTAGTATTTAGGACTATGACCACTGTTTTTAAATTTTACCAGAACCAGAACAGTTATGGTTTTTGGAACTTTGTCTTGAGCTGAAACTAGTAGAGTTTAATTAAGGCTACAGAATTAAAAAAAATTTTTTTTACTCCTGATCACTGATATTAATATTATTAGTAGAAGTATAAATAAATGAGACAACTAAAAGAAATAGAATTAATTCAACCCCACTAATGATTAGGCTAATCAATATCACAATAACATTTTTCTTCAAAAGAATGACTCACTCACAGAAGAGTTCTCTATGTAATAACGAATAATTATTATTGGACACCCCCCCCCCCCCCCCCCCATGGCTGCCAAATGACCAAAGTGCGTCTTGGATGACGAATTAGTCTCATCTCACGGACAGAAGTGCTTTCTTTGTAAATATAATTTTTTTTTTATATTCCAATGTGGCAATAAGAATTTTAATGTCCCAGTGTTAACATTTTTAACTGTATTCATTTTGAATTTGAAAAAAATGGCCACCCTAGGTTTGCAAATTATTTTCTATTTTTAGTCCTCATAAAATCATGTCATTTTTTTTCTCAGAGCCATAAGCTAATTAAAATGTAATCAAATTTTTGCATCACAGGTTTTGTAACTAAAGGAAAAAAGATGTCTGGATTCAATGGAAGAAATCCATCATCTTCTAAACCAGCTTGTACTGAACCAAAGTCAGCTACTGGACAAGACAAAACTAAGACAGGAAAAAGATGGGATGATGATGATGGCTGGGGAGGATTTGTATGATTTAACAAAATTAAAATGATTAATATACTGGATTTAAACATTTTGATTCATTTTAGTCTTTCATTCATTTCTTTTAGATTTCTCAATGCCTAATATGACCATAAATATAAAAAAAAAATGTATAGCAGAATTATTGCTACCCTTTTCATAAGTTCTTTTTAAAATTTATTTTGTTTTGCGGCTTTGGATAGGATAACATTACTTTTTCTGCTTGAAAAAAAATAAATTAACTTTTGAGTAGTGTAAGCCAAATTTATTATTAAGTTTAACAGTTTATTTTCCAAGCTTTTGGTGAGACTGATAGTAAATGTATCCATCTTAGCAGGGAACAGGGCATTTTTTTAATCATATGAAATAAGTTGCCCTTGGTGTACTGATAGATGATGGCTTGCAAAACCCCTTCTTTGGTAAACCCTGACTCATAAAACATTCTTTGGATGATATGATTACAAATGTAAAAAGCTGAGGTTACTAGGTAAAATAAAAAAAAAAATTATGGACATTTATTTGAATTTGTATATATTTAAAAACAAAATAATAAATTTTGATTTGTTTTTGGTAGAAAAACTACATGGATGCAAAGCGGCAAAAGTTGAGTGATCAGTTTGATGTTGATCGCAAGGGCCTGCATTCAAACATTTTTTCAGGAGTTGCAATCTATGTGAATGGCTATACAAGTAAGGTTTACTTTTAGGTGTTCTCTATTTTCGTCACATACTTTGGGTCTCTTAAAATTTAAGAAATGTAACGTGTTTATGTTTTAAGATTTAATAGAAACTTTTTATCATGTTTCTGTCTTTAATAACCTGTTGTTCAATCCAGCACTGTTATTTTTTTTTTTTTAAAGATAAATTTCTCGCACTTCATGGACTTGTCTTTGAAATTAGTTTTGTAAACTTAATTTGTTAGTAATCATTGCACAGTGATATCATTTAGAAATTATAGCCTAATAACCAAAAAATATTTTTACATCAGAACTAAATATAATAAGAAGATTAATGTTTTTTTATGTAATAAATATAATTAATGTTTTATCCATGAAAGATTGGTAGATAGCAATAGTTGTCTACCATATCGGTACAAAGACCCATTGATTTTATTAAATTGATTTCTGTATCCATCAACAGCGCCATCTTCAGATGAGCTGAGGCGGCTTATGCAGCAACATGGAGGCCGATATGAACTGTATCTTAGTAGAAAAAGAGTCACCCATGTCATTGCCAGCAACCTACCCAACAGCAAGTTCAAATTAGCCTCCACAATGGTCATTGTCAAACCTGATTGGATCACTGAAAGGTTATCAATGACAAACTTATTATTTTTTAAAAAATAATTCCTAAAATATTATTTTACAAATCAACTCAAAACTCTCTGAATTGATTTCCAAAGAATTCAGAATTTATTTAAATGATGAAACTTTCATCTTCAGAGATATGATAAAATTTCAATGTTTGTTTCTCTCTCCTCCACCCCCTGTTAGTGTGAAGGCAGGCAAGCGTCTCTCACATATACCCTATCTGCTGTTGGGTAATCAGTCTAAGCTCCAACCAGGCCTGAAGTCTTTGGCATCAGGGAAGTCTGCTTCTGCTACCACTGTGCAAGAAACTCACTCGTTGGCGGGGAACATTCCTGAAGACAAATTTAACTGTGACAAACAAAAACGATGCCTTCCATGCAGATCACCTGATACTTCAATGAAACTGCAAAATTTGCATGATGATGGTGTTTCTGGAACAGGAAATCATTTTCCAAGAAGCGCACGAGAAAACTGTGATAAAACGCCTACAAATGACTTTGAACACAAAAATGTCAAGAGCTGTATGAGCTCTGACTTACTGATAACTCCAAATCCCACTGATGAATTAAACGCTGATGACAGTGAAAGTGACACTGATATCGTGTACAACTCAGACGAAGATGACAGCACTAAATATGTCTTTGGCAGGACCCCAACAGGATCAGCTCTGAATGACAGCAAAAAATCCAGGATTTACACAATGTGCAAATTTAAAAAAGCTCTAAATGGGACTTTAGACTCACCAAAAATAGTAAATTCAAACAGCTGCGATGGATTTATTGGTGTTTCATCAAAAACCATGGAGTCAAATAGCTGTGATGGATTTATTGGTGTTTCATCAAAAACCATGGAGTCAAATAGCTGTGATGGATTTATTGGTGTTTCATCAAAAACCATGGAGTCAAATAGCTGTGATGGATTTATTGGTGTTTCAAAAACCTCAGATTCAAACAGCTGTGATGGATTTATTGGTGTTTCAAAAACCTCAGATTCAAACAGCTGTGATGGATTTATTGAAAGGTCTGAAATTGATTCTTCTCATCCGCACCAAGGCATCAAGGGATCCCCTTTGTTGACACGTCTGAACGGTGTGAACGCGGTCACTGACCGAACAGCAACAGCTGGTTCATCCCATTCCAAAAAGCCATTTTTGCCTCTGGAGGATTCCAGGAAGTCACCACCACCTGAGCTGATAGCGAAGGCAATGGGTTCACCCCAGAGAAAGCCAATGGCCGTGGCAGGAGAGAATAACTTTCTCAACGAATTCTACTCAAATTCTAGACTGCATCACATTTCAAAGTGGGGCGCAGAGCTTAAGGCGTACGTGGCAGAGATTCAAAAAAGGGGGAACTGCACATTCCCCGGGCGAGAAAAGCTCAGGCAGTCCCATGTGGATAGAGCTGTACAAATGGGTTTGTCCGAGACCTTGACATCAGGTCGTCACGGAGCCTGTGAGAAAACAATCATGCACGTCGACATGGACTCTTTTTTTGTGTCTGTTGGGCTGCTGACCAGGCCAGAACTAAGAGGTGAATATTTCTCTTTGAGCATTTCAAGTTTTTGATATTGTCATTCAATTAACAGGCAGGGGTTAGGACAATTTATTGTTTTAGCGTGTTTTAATTATCAGCCCTGAACCCCAGCAGTAACTATCATTGCATCTCAAACAAGTGGCAACCATTGAGAATTTGTCAGTTGTCTTTCCCACCTACAGGTAAATTGTCTAGTGAAATGGACTTGTCAGCCAAGTAAGTCAGATATATTTTGGGAGTAGGTTAACCCTGACTTAAAAAAACTTCATCTGTTTACTTACGTAAGCGCATGGGGTTAAAAAATTAGGTCTCTTTGCAAAATAAAAGCTGTAATCTTACAGTATTAAGTGATAGCAGCCAGAATAAATCCAGAATTTAAAAAAAAAAAATAACAATAATAATTTTTAAAAAAATATCAGCCAAAAGTAATATTTAATTTGTATTGTAGTATGTTTAATTATAAACCAAAACCGGTTTTTTGTTTTTTAGGTTATTGAATACAAAAATTGTCATGCCCCACTGAAATACACATTGCAACCTGAATGGCCACTGACCATAAGCTCATAATCATCCCATGAATCCTATGATTGTGTCAACAGATCTCCCTGTGGCAGTGACCCATTCCAAAGGTCAAGCATCAAAAGTCAACCCCGGGTCCAACCTTGCCTGGGAAAAATCCCAGTGGCAAAAGAAGCGGCAAGGGAAATTAAAAGGGGAGAGCACTGCAGATGCAAAGGGTGCAGAGTTATTTGATGATGGTGAGTTCTGCGTCCTGTTCTCAGAGTTGAGTTGAACTTCAAAATTTTTGACAGAAATTAATTTATCTTTTTTAAAAAATGTTTTCAAACTTCTAATCAAAATTTCAAAAGCAAACGCCACATGGAATTGTCCCCTTCATACTGCATGGATCTTTTCTTTGGACTAATTTATATAATATGTCTAGATGCATTCCTGGATGGGTTCAATGTTGAGCAGAAAGGCTATGATTTCCAGGCAGCCAAGGGGCAGACGTTCAACTCCATGGCAGAGATTGCTTCCTGTAGCTACCAGGCTCGAAAGGTTTTCCATCGTTTTTTTTTTTTTCTTTATCCAAATCCATTTCTGAAATTCTTTCATTTTTATTTAACAGAAAAAAAACACACACTCTTTTGCAATTAAACAAAAAAACTGTTCATCATAACAACAGAATCAGAATTATTGTTTATTTATTTTTATTTTTTTAAATTTTTTAAAATTTTTACAATTCCATAACTTTTAAGAATGAAATACCAAAAACTTTTAAAGCATAAGCACGATGATTAAAAAATTTGCCTCAGTCGGAAAGCTAAACGTGGCTGGATTAAAACAGAAATCAAACTGTGTGATGTGAAAGCCTTTAAAAAAAATTCGAAATCAATTCCCCTTAAAGACACGGCCAGGCTGTTGATTTGCAGCTCTCAGGATAGTTTAATTGGATTGAGGAGGGGGGGGGGCAAAAAAATTTTAAAACAGATATCTGAAGCTTTTTAAATCCAGCAATCATCCAATTAATCCTGGACACATTTTTTTTTTTTCCAGGCTGGTGTGAAAAATGGAATGTTCATGGGGCAGGCATTGAAACTTTGTCCTGACCTAAAAACAATCCCCTATGATTTTGATGAGTACAACAGGGTGTCAAGAGTCCTCTATGATTTGGTTGCCAGGTAACGTGCCTGTTGATCTTATGTGTTTGTGAGTATAAGCTACTTTGCACAATGGCAATGTTATGGACTGCTGGGCTTCCTTCATTTGGACAGCATTTAAAAGAATTTAAAGAAACAAATTAATTTTCACATGATTCAAAAAAATGTTTTATATTAACTGATGCCATTTGTTGGATAATATCAGTAAATTTATATTATGAGTACATCCAATGAAGTACAGTTGATGGTTAAAATCTGTTTGTAAAATGTAAGAAATATAATATAAGATTGTTTGATTTTAAAAAAAACTAATTAAAAAAGTCTATGAAGATTTCAACTGATTACATTCCACAAAATAGTTACATTCAATTATCTAGAGTCTACATGATGTAAATTAAGATGATAATTACATATTTCAATCAGATTAGCTTTTGTCGGTGAATAGCAACATTCTTATTTGATCAAATAACACTGAACCAACACCAGTCAACACCTCGGCTTATTTATTCAAAAACCTCTTACTACATAAAATCTCCATCTTATACTTAAATGCCAACCTGTACGGTTTACCCATAATTTGTACAGTTTAAGGCATTTTATAAGTTGCTTGGCTGTACAGGATTTAGTACCATTTTCAAAAAATTAGTGAAAAAATGTTCACTAATTTAAATTTTTTTTTTTTGCACTAGACATATTAAATTCATAGTAGGCCAAAAGGAAGCTTAAATCCTACGGATCTGTTTAATATGACCTTTAGCCTAATGTTAGGATTATTAGGCCATCTATCTAAGCATAGAATCTGAGCGAGCTTCAGCCAGTACCTATGTATTATTCCAGGTAGCTATTAGGGAAACGTTACGGGACCCTTACAATAGTAGCTACTTTGGGCGGTAAATCCCTCTGTGTAATAATCTGAGCAAAAGCTGCAGTGTCAGTAAGTGTTCTTTTAATTGCTCTCAAATAATGAAACACATCCAATATCACCAGGAATGGATAACTTTATTAGTACTCATATCTATTAGTTGTATCATGCCACGGCAGTAATAAATTAAGTGGGCCAGCACTTTCGGAAAGTAAATCAGCCGTGAGATTTTCTTCATTTAAGTGGGCCTTTTTTTTTTTTTTTTATCAAGAATTGTGTGTTTTTAAAAAAAATAAAAAATAATTTTTATTTTATGTGCTTGGAAACCTCCAATGAAGTGGGTGAACATAATTTTTAAAAGTTATGAAATGAGACTGGCATCAGGGTTGGGGTGGGGGGAGGGAGAGTTTCTTATGCTATGTGAGTGGCTGACCAAATATCCTGGAATTATCAATGCTCCATCAATGGGATCATCACTGGGATCATCACATGCATTTGAAAAAAAAAACACAGTTAATTGCTTGCTTCAGGCTGTTATGAAATTGAAGCACATTTTTAAAACATGGTTGCACAAACTAAACTTTGAGGCTATGAATGGAGATTCTACCTCAATTAAATCCTTCTTTTTCTCAGCCCCCATCATGTAGCTGTCTTAAAAAGTTACATGAGCTGAGATCTTATTTGGTAATTTCTTTGCAATCACATCTAGTGTACACTGCACACTTGAGAATTACACTAGTTGTTTTGATTTTCGAAATTAACATGAAATTATCAAGAAGGCAAATTTTGCTTGCATCAAATGAGAAAGTTTTTTTAAAAATTAAACTTTTTTCGACTTTTCATTTTTGAATTCTGTACAGTTTTTTATGCTGTTGTGTAATCTTTTTGGGGACTTTTATTTTTACAGTTTTAGATCCAGCAGGTCGGTTGGCATGTATGCTATTTACTAACAAACAATTTAATGCTAGAATTGAGGACCGTGTCACATTCATGCTTTTAGCAGTGGTTCTCAACCATTGACCTTTAAGTTACTGATATATTAGTTGGTGTGACCACGCCTCTACTCCTTGCTCAGTTACACGCATGATATCGAGGCTGTCAGCTGTGACGAGATGTTCATCGATGCCACTGACATTCTGACTGACACTGGTGCCACTGCCATGGAGCTTGCCAGTGTGCTGAGGGCTGACTTGATGGAGCAAACATCATGCCCAGCTTCTGTTGGAATTGGTTGGTAGTGATTTAGTTGACTAGGGAGGGATAAATATTTACAATTAAGGGATAAATAATTACAAGTTAGGGATAAATAATTACAAGTTAGGGATAAACAATTTCAAGTAAGGGATAAATAATTTCAAGCAAGGGATAAATAATTTCAAGCAAGGGATGAATAATTTCAAGTAAGGGATAAATAATTCAAGTAAAGGATACATAATTTCAATTAAGGGATAATAATTAAAAGTTATGGACAAATAATTAACAGTAAGGGATAAATAGTTGTAAACTTGTGATTAGCTGTTAAGCTAAGTTATGTGATTTGTTATTTTGCAGAAATAACAAGTTTCGTTAGTAACTTGGTTTTAAAATAAATAATTTTTGCAAGCAATCATTCTCTGATGTTGTTGATTCCGTATTCCAGGATGTATTCAGCAATTTATTTTGAACACAAACAGAAATAAGTAATGAAAGTTGTATCCGGATATTTGTGCTGTTGAAATTTGTTTGGCATGAACGGAAGTTTGCCCTGAATGAAATTTGTTAAACTGAGACATTTATAACTTTTTTTCTTTAATTTTTAAGGGATTTATTGAGTGAGAAATAAGGAAAATGTTAACTTTTTAACAAAATTTAGCTTTGTTTGTTTTTTCCGATTTCTTTCATAAAAAAAAAAAAAACTTCAGTTCGAACAAATTTCCCTTTCGAACAATTTTCCGTCAACAATTTTTTTTTCGTAAATGAAAAAATTGTTATAATAAAAACAAAAAAGGTTTTTATCTCTGTATTTGCATTAAGACGGGGCACATGTTAAAGGCTTTGTAAAATGATGTATTTTCATTCCTTGATTTGCCAGGTCCCAACATATTGCTGGCCCGCCTGGCAACAAGAAAAGCTAAGCCAAACGGACAGCACCAAGTGCAATCCAGTGAAGCCAGGGATTTCATCAGAGACCAGTCTGTGAGGGATTTGCCTGGTCAGTCAATTTTTTTTTTTTCTAGACCGGCTTCATACCCTCTTTTTACCTAAGCATGGTGGTGTGGGGTAGGAGGTGTCATGCCACCATTTTTATGAACTCAAGATAGAACGATGCTGACTTACCTTTTTCTTTTTTTTTTTTTAAAACTATGTGGCAAGAAGGGTGGAATGCTGCTCCTTATTTTCATCTCTTGGGCAACCTAAAGTTTGCCCTTAAACCAAGGGGCTTAGCACTGCACAGTTGGTAGTTTCAGCAACATACAGTTGATAGGTTAGCACTGCACAGTTGGTAGTTTCAGCTACATACATTTGATAGGTTTAGCACAACACGGTTGGTAGTTTCAGCTACATACATTTGATAGGTTTAGCACAACACGGTTGGTAGTTTCAGCAACATACATTTGATAGGTTTAGCACAACACGGTTGGTAGTTTCAGCAACATACATTTGATAGGTTTAGCACAACACGGTTGGTAGTTTCAGAAACATACATTTGATAGGTTTAGCACAACACGGTTGGTAGTTTCAGCTACATACATTTGATAGGTTTAGCACAGCATGGTTGTTAGTTTCAGCTACATACATTTGATAGGTTTAGCACTGCACGTTTGGTAGTTTCAGCTACATACAGTTGATAGGTTTAGCACTGCACAGTTGGTAGTTTCAGCTACATACATTTGATAGGTTTAGCACTGCACATTTGGTAGTTTCAGCTACATACATTTGATAGGTTTAGCACTGCACAGTTGGTAGTTTCAGCTACATACATTTGATAGGTTTACCACTGCACGGTTGGTAGTTTCAGCTACATGCAGCTTATAAGTTTAGCACTGCACGGTTGGTAGTTCCAGCAACATACAGTTGATAGGTTTAGCAACAAAAAGTTGATAGTTTTGTTACAGAGAGCTTGTTTACATCATATTTTCTCGTGCGTGCCCTCTGATTGACCCCGCATGAGACGCTGTGTTCACAAAGGGGTGTGGCTTAGGCCTTTGAAGTAACTTGTTGACGCCGCCAATGAATAAAAATAATTAATCTGTTCCAAATAGTATTTGGTAGAATGATTGGGATTTTTCTCGAAATGACTCGAAGGCAGGGCTTGGGCGTCGGTAGACCCACCTATATAAGGGATTGACAGGCACGGACGGGGGACGGAGATTTTCATATAGATTCTCTTAACATTACGAGGCGTGTTTTATTCTTTGTGTATTTGTGTGCTCCTACTTATATGTGTTTATTTCGCATTATTTATTGGCATCATTATTTCTAATTGTATTAACTGTGTACCGGTACGACATCTGCCATACTGTAAGTTGAAGATTGTAATTTTATTTTATTTTATTTTGTAATTATCTTAAGACATAATAAATCTTAATTAATTGTAACTAGAAACTGTTTTGGGTCGTATCTTTAATATTGTTGATTATATGGTATCGTCCTTTGTTAGGCACTGTTTACAACGAGCCAATTAAAATTAAAATAGGAGATTAATTTCTCCCAATACAAGTCAGTGCGTAACAAATTGGGTTGCTCGTCCCGGATATAGCGGACTCTATATTATTATTTTTCTCAAGACCCCAATTCTAACAAATTGGGGGCATCGTCCGCGATAACCGAATCCATATTTTATTCTCATTAGACCCCAATTTTAACAAATTGTGGGATTTTCCGAGGATAATTTTAATCCATAGTTTTTAATACACCAATAATAAATTGAGCGTTTTTTCTGTGGATTTTGACAAACTGTTTACCTTAATACACTCAAACTAATTTGAGTTCACGATACCATTTTACGACACCAACAACAGAGCTGGTTACAATTTTTTCATTAGTGTGTGCACTAAGCTTAAATTTTTATAAAAAAATCATTGTTATATTTTGCCTGTGTCAAAATGGATTTTGATATTGAAAACCCATCAGTAGAGGCATTAGACAAATGTTCTAGGAAGGAGCTATTTTCCATTGCTAAAGCTCTAGAAATAAATGTAGCTCATTCGGCCGTAAAAAAGACCATACGAGACATGATCATCGTTCACTTTGTGGATGAAGACATGTTATCTGAAGATGAACTTGCCTCAGTCACACAACCGACTGATCCAAGTATGGAGCTCCAACTAAAGCTCAAACAAATGGAACTAGATGCCCAGAGAGAAAAAGAACGTGAGCTTAAACAGCTGGAGCTAGATAAAGAACGTGAGCTTAAACAGCTGGAGCTAGATAAAGAACGAGAGCTTAAACAGCTGGAGCTTGAAGCTCAGAGAGAGAAAGAAGAAAAAGAACGAGAGCTTAAACAGCTGGAGCTAAAAGCTCAGAGAGAGAAAGAAGAAAAAGATAGAGAGCTAACAATAAAGTTAAAACAAATGGAAATAACGGCCAATTTAGGAGCAATGGAAAATAGACTCACGGCTCCAGCCGGTCAGGGTTGCGATGCAATTAAATTTGCAAAAGTAATCCCTAAATTTACAGAAAAAGAGGTTGACCAATATTTTGCGCAGTTTGAGATAACTGCCCAAAATTTTAAAATTCCTGAAACTATGTGGTCCACCTTACTTCAACCAGCCTTGACCGGAAGGGCATCTGAAGTCTTTGTGTCCCTGAATGCGGAACAGCGCGGGGACTATAACCTAGTAAAATCATTAATACTTAAGGCTTATGAATGTGTCCCCGAAGCATACCGTAAAAAGTTTAGGGAACTGTGGAAACGTGATGGCCAGACTCATGTTGAGTTCCTCCGGGAAAAGGAACGGCTCCTGGACAAGTGGCTGCACGCAACCAACACCGAGACAGACTTCAAGAAATTCAAGAACCTCATTCTGATGGAGGAGTTCAAGAACTGTGTTCGTACTGAGGTGCGAATACATATTGCAGACCGTGGCGAAGGTGACGCACATACGGCAGCAGTGTTAGCCGACGACTTCACCATCTCACATCAACTTTCCAAGAATCCATCTGACACCAAAAATGACAGGCACAATAAGACAGCTGTATCAACTTACAGTAAACCTCCACAAAAACCATTCAAGCCCGGTACGAAAGAAATTGGTGCAAAAGACACATGTGCCTACTGTAAAAAAGAAGGACATACGAGGGATGATTGCTGGAAACTCAAGAAGAAAACTGAGAAGACCACACATCCTGGTACACAACACAAAGTCTCCGCTTGTACGTCTCGTCATACATCTGGAAACACATTTTCAAAATTCAAGAGTTTTTGCTCTCCAGATGTCCATACAAACTTCAAAGAGGTTTGTCACGACTCATCAAAGAGTTCCATTATGAACAATAAGGCTAGTTTTACTGACTCCAGCCAAGTTCCTGCTTCGACTGCGAGTTTTATGAGCTTGTCGCCAAGATCCTTTTGCTCCAAGAAGAGGTCTACCTCCAGAGGGCGTTTTACTGAGGACTTGTGTGCAAGTTTTGACGACTCTACCCAGAGTTTTACTTCCTCTACCCTAGCCGAATGTTCTCAAGACTCCAACAAGAGTTTACCTACCAAGGTCCAAAATTCTACATCAGAAACTACTGATGTCATACAAGACTTCATGCCTTTCATATCGGAAGGATTCGTATCACTGCCAGGTGATTTTTCCAGTCTACAACCAATCAAAATCTTACGAGATACAGGTGCTTCACAGTCCTTACTACTTGAGGGTATACTTCCCTTGTCTGAATCTACTGCTACTGGGAGCAACATCCTGTTACGAGGTGTAGAGCTGGGATGCATAGATGTACCTTTACATCTCATCAACCTAAAATCAGACTTAGTCTCCGGACCTGTGGTTGTGGGTGTCCGACCAACATTACCATTGGACGGCATCTCGTTGCTGCTAGGCAATGACTTAGCTGGTGGGAAGGTGATAGCCGAGCCCATCGTTACTCATGAACCTTGTTTAAATGAAAATCAGGAAGAAGATCAAGAATTGTATCCAGCATGTGCTGTGACAAGGGCCATGAGTTCCAAGATCTCCACAAAAGAGATTTCACAAAAAAGCAATAAAATTCTTCCTGAAATTGACCTGGGAAAAACATTTTTTGCAAGTCTAAATGAAGAGGCTAGTAATTACAAGACTCCAACTCGAATGCAACTTATTGAAGAACAGAAGAGTGATCCAGAAATAGTCAAACTTCGAGAGAACGCTTTGACCCAAGAAGAAGCTGAACAATTCCCTATATGTTATTACCTTCAAGATGACATACTTTTGAGAAAATGGCGACCTCCAGACGCAAATGCTGACGAAGAATGGAGGATAGTTCATCAAATAGTAGTTCCTACCCCATTCCGGAACGAAGTCCTGAACTTAGCCCATGACTCACCACTTTCAGGTCATTTGGGAGTAAAGAAGACATATCACAAAATCACGTCGCACTTCTTTTGGCCCAAAATCAAGAAAGATGTGGTTGAATACTGCAGATCATGTCATACTTGTCAGGTTGTAGGGAAACCAAATCAGAAGATACCAGCAGCTCCTCTTCAACCCATTCCAGCATTCGAAGAACCTTTCAGTCGCGTTATTATAGACTGCGTTGGACCTCTGCCAAAGACAAAATCAGGTCACCAATACTTGCTGACAATCATGTGTGCGTCAACAAGATTCCCAGAAGCTATTCCTCTTCGCAATATCAAGACTCCGAACATCGTCAAAGCCTTGACGAAGTTTTTTACATTGTTTGGTCTTCCGAAGTCTGTACAGTCTGACCAAGGAACCAACTTCAAGGCTGGAATATTCAAACAAGTGATGAACCAGTTGGGCATAGAACACTGCTTGTCGAGTGCATATCATCCTGAGTCACAGGGAGCACTTGAGCGATTCCATCAGACGTTGAAGAACATGATGAGAACCTACTGCCTAGAACAAGAGAAAGACTGGGATGAAGGCATCAACATGCTACTGTTCGCCGCAAGAGAAGCAGTTCAAGAATCACTTGGATTCAGCCCCTTCGAACTGGTGTTTGGCCACACGGTTCGCGGTCCCCTTAAACTTTTAAAAGACACGTGGATGTCATCGACACCCACGGAAGGACTTCTTGACTATGTCCAAAAATTTAAAACTAAACTTTTTAATGCCGTTAATTTGGCTAAAACACATTTAAAAGATTCACAATCTAAAATGAAAGTTTGGTATGACAAAAAGTCAAAATTCAGACAGTTTGCTTCAGGGGACAAAGTGCTTGTGCTTTTGCCGATACCAGGGCAAGCACTACAAGCTAGATATTTTGGTCCTTATGTTGTTGAGTCCAAAATCAATGATTTAAATTACATTGTGTTAACACCAGATCGTAAAAGAAAGAAACAGTTATGTCACATTAACATGTTAAAAGAATATTTTGATAGAAAATGTGATGATCATTGTCCATCCTCAGAAACAAATGTTAACACAATCTCAACTGTAACTTCAGTACTTAAAGAAAATGTTACTGAAACCTTTGATAGTGTCCCAGAAAAAGTTGGTAATTATAAACTTAAAAATTCAGAAGTATTGGCCAACTTAGATAAGAAACTAGGACATTTGTCATTGTCAGAGAAGGATGTTGTTAAGTCTGTGATTGCAGATTTTGTTTTACTCTTCCCTGATGTGCCTAATAAAACCAACATTGCTGTACATGATGTTGACATTGGCAATGCAGTTCCGGTCAAGCAACACCTCTATAGGGTCAATCCGGAAAAACTTGAAATAATCCGGTCTGAAATAAAATACATGCTTGAAAATGATATAATTGAACCAAGCTCTAGTAACTGGAGTTCACCATGTATTTTAGTCCCAAAGCCTGACAAAAGTTACAGGTTTTGTTATATCAATATAAAGTAATGCCGTTTGGAATGAAAAATGCCCCGGCTACATTCCAACGTCTTGTAAATAACATTATTGCTGACCAGGAAAATTGCAGCGCCTATATTGATGATGTAATTATTTACAGTCAAGATTTTTCAACTCATGTAAACCAATTAAGATCTCTGTTTAAAAAATTTTTGCAGGCAAATGTAACTGTAAATTTAAATAAATGTGAATTTTGTCATGCAACTGTGGAATATTTAGGTCACATAGTGGGTCAAGGTCATGTAAAGCCTGTTCAAGCTAAGATAAATGCTATTGTATCACTTCCACCACCCACTACTAGAAAACAGTTAATGAGATTTTTGGGAATGGCAGGTTATTATAGAAAATTTTGCAACAATTTCTCAGTTATTGCTTCTCCTTTAAGTAATATGTTAAAGAAGAATGCAAAATTTCAATGGTCAGATGCTTGTCAGGAAGCATTCGAAAACATTAAAAATATACTTGCTAATGCTCCTGTTCTCATTGCACCAGACTTTAATAAACAGTTTAAATTAGCTGTAGATGCCAGTGATGTTGGCATTGGTGCAGTTCTTTTTCAAGAAGATGACCACAATGTAGATCATCCTGTCTCTTATTTCTCAAAGAAATTTAACTCACATCAGAAAAACTATTCCACTGTAGAAAAAGAATGTTTAGGTTTAATTCTTGCTCTCCAACAATTTGATTTTTATGTCAGTTGTTCTTTACATTCAGTACTTGTTTTTACTGATCACAATCCTTTAACATTTTTGAATAAGATGGTCTCCAAAAATCAAAGATTGTTAAGATGGAGCCTATTTTTACAAGAATATAATTTGGACATCAAACATATTAAAGGCAAAGACAATGTCATTGCAGATACTTTGTCCAGAAATTAATTTTCACTTATGTTATTGTTTATAAGCTGTTAAGAAGTTTTTTGTCTAATATTTTGAGAGTAAGAAATGTACTTTCTTCAATTTTAATGGAAAAAGAATTCCATTTTTGAACAATGAAATTTTTTTCTTTTAAGAGGGGAGGTGTTATAGAGAGCTTGTTTACATCATATTTCTCGTGCGTGCCCTCTGATTGACCCCGCATGAGACGCTGTGTTCACAAAGGGGTGTGGCTTAGGTCTTTGAAGTATCTTGTTTACAGTCGGCTTCCAATTACGCATTGGGTAGATTGTTTTCGGGTAATTTCTGGAATATACTCCTTAACCCGAGAGATGTAAACAACACGTCATAAGCCCTTCTCGAAGCATCTTACTCTACATATATATAAGAGATTGACAGGCACGAGGGGACGGAGATTTTTCACATAGATTTTCTTAACATTACGAGGCGTGTTTTATTCTTTGTGTATTTGTGTGCTCCTACTTATATGTGTTTATTTCGCATTATTTATTGGCATCATTATTTCTAATTGTATTAACTGTGTACCGGTACGACATCTGCCATACTGTAAGTTGAAGATTGTAATTTTATTTTATTTTATTTTGTAATTATCTTAAGACATAATAAATCTTAATTAATTGTAACTAGTAACTGTTTTGGGTCGTATCTTTAATATTGTTGATTATATGGTATCGTCCTTTGTTAGACACTGTTTACAACGAGCCAATTAAAATTAAAATAGGAGATTACTTTCTCCCAATACAAGTCAGTGCGTAACAGTTTTATCAACACACTTTTATAATAATAATAATAAAGTTTATTTAAAAAAACACGCTTCATCCCCAAAGGCTCAAAGCGCGGTACAAAGTCAACAAAAAACCAATCTATAATTTACCACATTTAATACAAACGCAACACTACAAAAAGTAATTACAAGCATACAATGGCAAAGTCTTTCTAGCCATTTCAACCCTAAGCAACACAGCCATTATGCATTAACTGGAAAATAAGGTAGGCAATCATCCCAGAAGGTGTTTGTGAAATAGATGTGTCTTTAAATTGGTTTTAAAGGACTCCAGTGTCTGGTTGTTTCTGAGATCGACAGGAAGGGCGTTCCAAATTGTTGGACCAGCAAAGGCGAAAGTGTGCTTTCCATAAGTCTCAAGGCGAACACGTGGTGTCGAGAGTTTTCTGTGAAGGTCCTGCAAAACGTTTGGTGTCCTTTGCTGTTAGTTAATCACAACACAAATTGATCATTTACTCTGACGACTGTCACATTTTCACAGGTGTGGGCTACTCCATGTCACACAAGCTTGCCAGGATGTCCGTGCACACCTGCGGTCAACTGCAGGCTGTTCCTCTGGCGGCGCTGCAAAGAGAGTTCGGCCCCAAGACCGGCGAGTCCCTTCACCAGTTCAGCCTCGGCCTGGACAGCAGAGAGGTTCGGGGGAACAAACAAAGGAAATCCGTGTCAGCAGAAGTCAATTATGGGATAAGGTTTTCCAAGGTCAGTCCTGTTTAAAGACCCACACACCACCTGACTGTGGGTACTGATAGGTGCCTTCTTCAAAATGTGTGTTTTGGCAAAAAAGATTTTGCGATGTCATTTTCCACTTTTTTTCCATTCACTAAGAAAACAACTAAATCATGATGGGGGGGGGGGGGGGGTTGTTTTACATATTTTATCAACACCAACATCCACTTAAAAGTTTGTGAAAAACACATTTTTCTTTACTAATGTGACCATGGTATGGAACAAAAAATGTTATTTAACTGCACAATCTTAAAACTTTAATATGAACACTCCCAAGTCCCACACAGTAACTGGAGTGATAATTTTAGAATGTTTCTGCTGATAAGTTTCCCCCTGCACAGCTCCCTCATCAAACAGCCGTCCTGTGATGAAGAAACCATGTCGTCTCACTATCTGTCACATGCCATTGTGTCAGCTCCATGTCATCTCACCCACTACCTGTTATGCGACATTGTGTCAGCTTCATGGTGTATCACTACCTGTCATGTGCCATTGTGTCAGCCCCCTGCCATCTCACTACCTGCCCTGTGCCATTGTGTCAGCTCTGTGTCATCTCACTACCTGTCATATGCCATTGTGTCGGTTCCGTGTCATCTCGTCACCAGTGATGTGCCATTCTGTCAGCTCCATGTCATCTCCCCACCTGTCATGTGCCATTGTGTCAGCCCCATGTCATCTCACTACCTGTCATATATGCCATTGTGTCAGCCATCCTAAGATCTTGAGCTATTTCCTCTGTAACTCTCCTGGAAATGTGTTCAATCAACAGGAGTCTGAGGCACTCAGGTTCCTGCAGGATCTCTCCCTTGAAGTGAAACGTCGCTTAGATGCCATTAAAGTCAAGGGTCGCTCCATCACTCTCAAGCTGATGGTGAGGAGACCTGATGCCCCCGTGGAGACGGCAAAGTTTATGGGTAGGAAAGTCTCTCAAATCCTATATTTCCTTTGCTCATGCTCTGCCTCTGTAAGATTTAAACTTTTTAACGTTTCTCAAAAGACCTACATCTCGTTTTCAAAGTTCAAATATTAGAATGTTGAAAGTTTCTTATGTTGTTTTTTTTTTTTTTTTTTTTTTTTTTTTTTTTTTTACATTTTTTTTTTTTTTTTTTTTTTTTTTTTTTTTTTTTTCTTTTTTTTCAAACTTTTTCCCCTTTTTTTTTTTTTTTTTCATCTAGGTCATGGGATTTGCAATACCCTAAACAAGTCCAGTAACCTCCCTGTTGCAACTAATGATGGAAATCTTATTGCGAGGGAGGTGATTTCCCTTTACCGTGCACAGAAAGTCACTGCATCAGATGTCAGAGGGGTATGAATAATGTATCTATATTATAGAAGATGAAAGTTACAGGATAGTGGTTTTTTAAAAAGTGTTTAGCATCTTAACATATTGTAGGCTTGGATTATTTATCACCAGCACAGCTCTGCCTGTGACGGCATGTACAGGGGCCGTTGAGCATACATTTTTTAATGTCAATAACTAAAGGATCTTTATTTTGTCAAATTAAAATTAGGCTTTAAAAAATTATAAGCAAATTATATATATTATATAGTTTTAGCTCCTTTTAAAATAGGTTTAAATACTAGAAAGTCACTTTTCAAGGAGAGTGAAAACTTTTCAAAACATTGCGTGTAAGCCAACATGAGAAATTTAACTTTTTCTATAGCTTCTGTTAGAAAAGTCCCCTCTCCACATTTTTCTATTGCACATACCAGTATATATATCCGGGGAGCTATCTATACAGATTTGGAATGATTGTCACCTTTTGAATGTTTATTTTTTAAAAAAGAACTAGTCGTAACCTTTCTTCCTGTACTGATATCACTGTTGCTGTTATAAGTTGTTATGACAAGAGCGGATGCCTCTATGCATATCAGTTAGAGGGGTCAACTGCTAATTATTTCTCACAACTGTAATGATAACAAAGCCCAAGAATTCACATATCACTTATTTATTTATATGTAACACTACAAAGAATAAGGTTCACATCTGATGAATGACAGAGTGATGGTTGAGTGCCGCTCAGTCACCATACATCCATTTCTCCAACCATCATGATGCCACACAAACTGTTGACGCAGAGCATTATCAAATAATCCATTTACTCTAACGCAACTGTTACGGTATTTGTTTTTCTGTTAGGTTTGTTAGACACATCGAAACGTTTGAACATACATGACTTCTAATAATTACATAGACAGGACTTTTATTATCCATAACATTGCCTCGTAAAACCTATTTTTTTTAATTCACAGTTAATGACCATTGTAAACAAAGCTCCCATGTCGGACAGTTTGATTGGTGCTTCTGGGGAGGTGTAGAGGTTTATCTCTTTAACCTCCTTCACCTGCGGCTCAAAAGCAAATTTTACCATTTATTAGACTAATGTATTTGAAAACAACGCTGTAATTTTTAAAAACATAATTATTTCTTCAGGTTGGCATTCAAATCGGCAAGCTGGAGGGTGAAAGTTCAGCACAAGTCCAGAAACATGGACATCAGAGCATCCTGGCCTTTGCCACCGTCAGCTCTAAGGAAATTGTCACACCTACAAGTGGGCCTAAACTAGGCCAAAATGGTGCCGGCACAATGGCAACACTCGGTGATACGAGTGTTTCCCCAGCCATGACAAAAAATTCAGCTACTTTCACTAACATTAGAAACTCACCACCTGGTGCTAATCATAGGTCACATTCAAAAGATCACACTTCACCTTCAGAAGAGCACAGTTCACATTCTAGAGATCACACATCGTATTCTGAAGATTACACATCATATTCTGAAGATCACACATCACTTTCGAAACATCTAGGCCAAGACACCACCAAGAAACATGTAAGTGACTTTGAAAGACCAGGTCCTAGCTCTAGGAAGGATACACCACCTTTAGGTGACATTTACAAACCAGGTCCTAGTATAAGGAGGGACACCCCACCTGTAGTGTACATGGACAAGCCAGGTCCTAGCACAGAGAGAGGTACCCCACCTGAAACCATGAACGCTCACATATTATCAGAATCTCAAGTAAGTTTTAAAAGATAGGGTACTCAAATCACATAGCAACAATCATTTACTTTGTTTATATAACTTAATGCTCATTAACAACCTCCAACACAGGGCTGAGGGTAGCTCTTCAATTTCTGATTGAATCAACTTGACTAGATCATTGTGTTTTGAGAATGAGCGAAACAAAGCTCGAGAAAATGTGGAAAAAAAGATTGCAACAAAACAACAAATGTGTCGGCCAGAAGCCTTCATCGGCAAACAAACAACGGTGAAAATGGAATTAAATTAAAAAAATAACACATAGCTGAAATGTAGTAGTAGTTTCCGAGCAGAAAGCTAACCTGATTGCAGTCTCTCTCCCCTTATTACCATTGTGTTGATTGTGTTGTGGCACTTTAAAGAATGAATGCCATCATGATGTTCCTGCAGTGTGATGTGTGTGTGTTAGGTTAATTAAAACCAACAGGTTACCTGTTCTCAGATTGACATCGATGTACTGCAAGAACTGCCCAGTGACATTGCCGAGGAGGTGTTGCAAGACTTGAGACTCAGGAAGAAACATCTGACAGAGGAGCAGGAAGACCCACCCCAGCACACAAACAAGCGGCAGATTGACTCAAACCCCTGTCCTGCAAACATCAGTGAGAGGAGGGACTTCCATGATATCCTCCCTTCACTCTCTCAGGTAAATCAAATGGTTCCCGGTGGATGAGACCTGTCTCTGTGTTCGGTGATTGTTTTCCTTGAGCTTGGAAGCATGGTGAACTGTTTTAAACAGCTACTCCCATTTCATTTCTGTGGCCGTACTTTAAGCATCCATGTTTGTCATGACATGGGAATGGTATTCCCTTAGATCAGTGGTTCTCAACCTTCCTAATGTCACAACCCTTTTAATTCAGTTCCTTATGTTGTGTTGACCCCCCAGCCTTGAAATTATTTTGCAGCTGCTTCATAAATATGTGTTTTCCCCTGCTTAAGGGTCATTCAAACGCTACGGGTTGAGAACTGCTGCCTTAGATTAACCTGTAACATGACAACAAATACCAAGGTCTGCCAATTAAACAAGCTGTGTTACCTAATTAATTTGAAAGTGAGCATGTTAATTTTATGACTGGAAATGGGAGCATTTCAACCCACTAGGGATTCCTATCCAAATATTTAGATCTCAATAATTAAGAGTCTCATCATAGTATTTCAAAAGAATGGGTGTCTCTTTGAAAATATGTGTCATGAAATTGGAGGAGGGTCTTGAGGCCAATATAGGTGATTATCAGTAATCACTGTACCACATGATCAGTGGTAAAATCAACCACTCTATAAATTATAATCCAGTGTTTTCCCCAACCTTCTTGACCTGCGGAGCCCTTTTTGGAATCAATTTCAATGGGTAGCCCCTGATGCCTACCCCATGTCTTACAATCAAATGGTATTATTTTGCTTCCTGTAGCTGCTGAGGTTCTCCCTTGGAACTGCATGCAGAGTCCTTAGGGCTTCCCGGAGCACAGGTTGTGAAACACTGGTATAACCTATAAACCCATAAAGCCCTGCAATGTCATTTACCTTTCATTAAATTGGTATTCTGTAACTGCAAATACCCAAAAGGGAGCCGCCCATTATTTTTGTAACCATTTGTGGCCTCCATGGGAGTCCCAAACCATTACCCAGCTGACAGGCTCAGCTGACATATACATTATGGGAGTCACAAACCATTACCCAGCTGACAGGCTCAGCTGACATATACATTTTTTCCAGTAAAGTTCTGATTCTGTCCTTGTCCAGGTGGACCCGAGCTGTTTTTCCGCGCTACCTTTGGAGCTGCAGAGAGAGCTTGAAAAGGAATATGCCCGTCATGAAGTGGCTCTGAGGAGTCCTCACAAGACGTCCCGAGCCACTGGGGTAACAAAAAGCAATTAACCATTTCAAAGAAAACGTTTGAACTTTTAAGTTGTTTTTTTTTTTCTTTCTACATTTTTACTTAGGACGTTTAAATTTAAGAACAAAAATGTTTGGGTTAAAGGCTCATAGAATACCTCTGTCTCCAGCTCAATGTATAATTTTTGGTGCATCACTAGGAAAGGCAACCCTTGCCAGGTATTTCTCCAACAAAGGGTAAAAAAGTTGTAGCCGGACCAAAAGGAAAGCAACCTGGCAGGAGAGGTCGACGTCCTGGAAAAACCAAAATCCACTATCGGGGAAGTAGGGTTAAAGCTGGGGTCTCCGAGGTAATTAATTTATTAATTTGGATTAAGTTATTTTGCATTGTAAAAATATGTTTTAGCTGTAGCTCCAACTAACGGACCAAGTTTCTGATACGCCTGGCAAACCCATAAAGAGATCATATGATAATTTTAAAAAAAAATTAGTTACTGTGAATTTGACTGTCAACAATATAACATTTCCACTCAACTGTTTATACAAAAATAGTTTTAGAAACAATAGCTTCCAAAAGAGATTAAACAATTTTTTTTTAAAAATGTAATCATTATATTTATAAGTATAAGATTTCATTGTCAGATGTCATTATAAGATGTCAAAAAATCCAAAACATTAAAAGATTTAAGAAAAAAAAAATCAATATGTCATTGGGGACCTTGAAGTCTCAAAGAGCTGTAATATAAATTTAACAAATAGCTGTTTTGTAGAAAATCAGTTGTAAGGATACGAAAAATGCATGTCTGGTCTTATGACCAAGGCCTGACTTAGAAATTCCTTACTGGGAACATTTGCCCAGCGAACCATTGATTTGGCATCTTGCATCTACTTCTTCTTCTTCTTCTATATCTTAAGGGCCCACGATCAATTTATTGATCATTTTGGCTCCTATGCATGTAGATGGGATTTGCAATGTTTCTGTTACTGGTGGTGATGAGGAAATTATGCACTAGGGGTTTGAAGGCTTGAGGCAATAGACACAAATGTGTCTAGTGTTGTCGCCTCAACTGTTCCTTTTGAAAGATGGTTCCAGTCCCTGATTGTCTTGGGCAGGAATGAGCAGCTCCTATACTGGCTTCTTGCTGGTATGAGCCTGAATTGCCTGTCATGGCCTCGTCGCTGTCTATGGGGGAGAGGGACGAGTTTCTGTTTAATACTGGAACAGTGGACCAGCCCATTATTTATCTTGTACATCATGGAGAGCCTGGATTGTCGTCGTCGTTTCTCCAATGGTGACCAGCCTAGTGTTTCTAGCATGCTGCCAACACTAGAGGTATTCCTGTAGCGGTTTAGGACAAAGCGTGCTGCTCGTCGCTGGACCGCCTCCAACCTGTCAATGCTCTTCTGGGTAAATGGGTCCCAGACTGAAGATGCATAATCTAAAATCGGACGGATAAAGGCTTTATATGCTCTTTCTTTCACACAGGAGTTGCCAATCTTTAGATTTCGCCTTAAGAACCCCAAGGCTTGGTTTGCTTGGTTACATACATTGTTAATATGCTCGTCCCAGCGGACCTCTCTTTGAATGGTAACACCCAGGTACTTTACGGACGAAACTTGCTAAAGAATATGGCCGTGCAGTTTGTATTGGTAGTGTAGAGGAGTACAACTTCTAGAGATTGATAGTGTCTGGCACTTGGCAGGGTGAAATTCCATGTCCCATAGTGTCTGGCACTTGGCAGGGTGAAATTCCATGTCCCAGCTCATCTCCCACTCAGCTAACAGTTTGAGATCCTGTTGCAGCTGGTCCTGGTCAGATCTATTGGCGATCGTCCTATACACTGCTGTGTCATCTGCGAACAGTCTTGCCTGTGATGCCAGCTTCTCCGGTAGGTCATTAATGTATGCTAGGAACAAACAGGGGCCCAGGACTGATCCCTGGGGGACCCCTGACTTCACATTGACAAAGGAGGAGATTGTACCGCCCACCACTACTGCTTGGCATCGGTGGCTGAGGAAGCTAGAGATCCATGTTTTAGTGGTGCCTTGAATCCCATATATCTGAAGTTTGTGTAGAAGCAAACTATGATTCACCCGGTCAAATGCTTTTGCGAAGTCCATTACTAGCACGTCAGTCTGCTTATGGTTCTCCAGATTGGTCATCAAGTCTTCTACAAATTCGAGAAGCTGGGTCTCACATGATCTATTGACTCGGAAATCATGTTGACAGTCATTGAGTATATTTGCCTACATCAGTAAAAACAGAATTAAATAAAAATAGCAAATGACTGTTTGACATATTTTAAGAAACAAGATTGCTGTGCCTCTAGGACATTTGTTTGCTTTTTTTTTTTTTTTTAAATAGAAAAATGACCTGGATGTTGCTGAAGACATTATCAGCTGTGACTCGGACCCTCCAGTGACCGCCATGCTGCCCAGTGATTCGACCCCTGAGGATGGCCAAACCAGATATGTCCAGAAAGGTAGAGACCTGTGATTAATCTAAAGAGGTCTATCAGATGTGAATGATGTTCAACAGGAAGACTTATTCTATTCAAAAGTTTTGAATAGAAAATTTTTAACAGTAGTGCATTATTTCTTTATGTTACAAAAAATCAATAGCTATTTTTTGAAATATAATCTTATCATTCTTTCTCCACACCCTGGTGAGCTCATCGCTTATCTTTGTCTGAAAGGCCCAGTGTTGGAATTGTATTCTTACAAATTTCAATTTTACGTTAAGATTCAAGATACCACGAGACAAACAAAAACACTATTTGTAGCACAATTGTAATAGCTGTACCAACTCTGCACACTGGCTTGGCGTATGAGATATTGTTTCTGTATCCTCAGGGCATCCTGATGAAAGACTGAATGAGAGCAATCACTTTGAGGAAGTTTCTCTGTGCAGTGCTCATGACTTGGACGACGTCAGACATTTGTTAAAAGAATGGTTGGCAGCAGGCTCAGGTGAGGCTCTCAATTTGCACACAGGGCTCATTTGAAGACACAGAAGTACTCCAGCCACTCCCTTCTTGGCTCATTTTTCGTTGATGTGGTTGCTATTTTAAAGGGGGTTAGGGCCAAACAGAATTTTTGGTGCTCAAGTTATTTGTCATGATTATTGATTCACAATTTTTTTAAAATTAATTGTCATTTCTTTAATTATTGTTATAGACATCTTTGGAAACAATAATAAATGCCATTTATCTTTAATAATAAAAAAATATATATATATAAATTTTTATTCAGCTTTATTGAAAGAAATTACAGACATTTATTAAGCTGAAAGTAAAAGCTGAACTATTATTTACTTTATGTCAGAGCCGCAACCCGAGGATGTGCAGTTAGTAAGTGATTACTTCATCAGACTTGTAGAAAGTGAAAACTTGGAACAAGCCTACTGTCTTTTAAAATTTGTTAAGAGGTAAGTAGACCTACAGTTCATTTATTTTTAAAAAGTTCCACATTCTTTTTTTAAAATAGCATTTTTTAAATTTTTTGTAATTGAATTGATTTGAAATTTTTATTAAACATAATTTTAAACAAATCTTAATGATCATTATGTTTTAGTTTAATAATTAATTTTTTTTAATCATCTCATCTGCTTTTTGTCTAGGAAAGAAGCAAATCTGAAAAATTCCAAGTGGCTTGATTGTTTGAGAAATCTGAGCAGTTGTGTCCAAAATACAGTTATTGCCAATTATGGCGCACCATTCAAGTTGTGATAATCAGGGTTGGAACTATTGTTAGAATGTGAATTAAGAGAATAGAAAAATTGGATTGTATATTTATAAACTAGCCGAATACCTATGGCACCCTGTGTTCTGTGAGGGAAATGAGTGAAACAAATTATGGGAAAACCTGGAAAAAGGAATGCATCAAAACAAGAAACATGTCAGCAGCCTACATCAGCAAACAAACAGCAGTAAAAACAGAATTAAATAAAAATAGCACTTAGCTGAAAACTAGTACCCAGAGGAAAGTCCTTCGGAAAAGTGTTCCACAAAAACTTTTGTTTATGCATCATGATCATGCAGCAATTTTTTTGAAGCTGACCGAGTTATTAGCACTTTGCGGCATGAAAGAGGTAAGACCGAATTTCTGACTCTTTATTCATCTTTTTCCAAAAAATATGTTTGTGACATCAAAACACACACCCAAAAAAATATGCTGACAAGCTGAATTTTAAAAAAAAATTTGTCCGTGCACGCTAAATATGTAAGAGTAATCATAGGAAAAATGAACTTCATAGGTCTTTTTATTCTTGAGATGTCATGATCAATGTGCCAGTCAGCGAGTGGCGCCTGGATTTTGTATGTATAGATTGTATTCACAAATCAACCGTACACATATGTATGTATGCATACTGGTATATTAAATATTTTTGATAAGTCTCCTCTATGTCAAAGCTTTTGTTTATAACCAGAGTCTACATGTATTGATTTGCACTACATTATATTTTTATTAGTTCCTGTATTATGTCTACAACTGCAGTATGACTTTGACAAATGTTATGTTAAAATGTAATGAATTATTAGTTCCTGTATTATGTCTACAACTGCAGTATGACTTTGACAAATGTTATGTTAAAATGTAATGAATTATTAGTTCCTGTATTATGTCTACAACTGCAGTATGACTTTGACAAATGTTATGTTAAAATGTAATGAATTATTGTCACTCTCTTTTAAATTATAAGCATATTACATTTCTCTCTTCACTTTAGCTGAGATGAAGTATGATTAAATTTTTCAACTCTTTTAATATTGACAATGTAATTTTTATTAATAGAAGATACAACCCGGTGATACTGTGGTAATACTTAGCATATAATATGCTATATAATTTGGGCCTATCCAACCCTTTTTAACTGCATTTAAAACGCACTTTCTAAAAAATTGTACAAAAAGTGGTTGTAAATTTAAAAAAAATCTATTTACATTTTAAATATCTGTAACACCATCAGATTCTGCATCTTCCATAAAAAATGTACCCAACCTCTGCCTCGCACCTGTTAATCGGAAAAATCGTTAAAAAACAGAATTCTTAGATTTTAAAGAATAATCTCTCAACCAATATTTATGTCTGGAACAGAGAATTATTTTTTTAAAGAACTAATCTATACTCATACTCCCATGCCCCTAAACTTTATTTTGTGCTAAATAGAAAAACAAATATTTCCTTAAATGTAAAGAAATGTTATTAACCCTTATTTGTTCACGCCCCTGGATGTATTTTCAACAAATGTTTTTCACCACATTTGTTAACATAAACATGCTTTCATCTTTATAAAATGTGCACACTCCTTAATCCTCTCCCCTGAACTGTACATCTGGAAAAATTACAATGTCTTTTGGCTTCAAAGATAAATTGTATCCATTATTTTCCCCTCTCCAACTTTTATTAAGTTTTGAGGTATGGGCATCCTTATGTAAATTTGTCCGCTGTGTGTCAATGGCAGTCGGCACCCTTGAACTGCAACTTCCCACATCACCGTAACCACACAGATTTACTTGTTTTCAAAGAGGGTATAAAACACCTTTTTCCACAACTGTAATATCATCAGATTTAAATATCTTGTTGTTCACATAAAAAATGTACAAGTCCTCTTTCCTCACACTGAAGTGTGCTTGCGGTAGAAAATTAAGTACATCATATAGTTAGTCTTAAAACTATCTATATGATGATTTCTGGTGTGTAACTCATTTGAACTTTGAGATACTGCTATTCGCATCAAATGCACCCACCCATTCTATGTCATCTCTTGAGCTGCCTGGGGAAAAATGACAAAAATCGCAGCCTCCCATCCCCCACACCCTAATATTTTATTAATTTTTTTTAAACATTAATAAAAGCCCACCCCCCCCCCTTCCCCCCAGTAACGTCACCACACAATTTTTGCCTTAACCCTTACCTATGTTAATATTCTTAAGGGTCCAACCTCCTTTTACCAAGAAATTTTCTTATGTTAAAAAAATAGTTCATCGCTGATTTCCATATATTTGAAGAATATGGTTATCAATTTTTAAATTAAAATCCATGCCGAAGTTCAATCTGTAACATAATCTGTAACATAATTGGGTTATGAGATACTGATACTAAAATATACCCCCCTCCCCTTTTTGCCAACCACCACCACCACACACACACACAGATTCCCTAGCCCTTAAAATGAAAAACAAAACAAAAAATAAAATGCTAAAATAAATAGTTCACAAATTTATTTTAAATTATCACTATTGAAATATTGCATGATTATCATTAGCATTTCTGATTTTACATATTTGTAATTATGACGTTCTATGATATTTTTTTCATAAGGTTTACCTGTGCATGAACAAGGACGAATATTGAATTTTTAAATGCCATGTTCAATATATATGTATATATGATTCTATTTCTATCCAATGTTTTTTTTTTTTAAATCTGTGATAAAAGTTGAGGTTCTAACCAGCAATAAAGATTAATTAATTTATTATCAGGAATAGGTCTTTACATTTTTCTTGAAGTGAAATATGTCTATTAAAGTGTTTTAGCTGTGTGTACTGTGTACTGATTTCTGGGACAACTTTTGTTTTGAAAAAAGTAGTGCAAAAAAAAAAAAAGTTTAAAAAAATCAACAGCAAAACAAATCAAGAGATGGTGTCAGTCTGTGCAATGTCTTTTAGCTGCATTCAGTATGACCTTGACCTTGCTCCAGCTGTCCAGTTGGGAGAGATGGACTCTGATGGTGTATTTGCCTAGTCTGTCCTGTTGTGGGAATATGGTATCTCATGTCAATTAATATTCAACGATGTAAATGTAACCGAATGTGTGCAGCTTGCTGTAGCATTATTTATATTTTTGGTGATGCTAAACGGCAAACTATTTTTTTCTACATCTAGAATTCAAAGAAAAAGCTATTAAATTTAAATGGCAGAATTTTTTAAATATATTTTTGCAAAATATTACATTAAGTTAATTTGCATCAAATATAATTGTTCAAAAAACTAGTGTAATGCTTTTTAATGGTATGCAGTAAAGAACCAAAATGTCGTCGTTTTAAACTTGTATAGGAGATATGTAAAACTGAAATGAGCTGGCAATATTTTGGAGTATCCTGAAAATGCATAGTTCTTCTAGTCCACCATTTCTCCTACCTGCATGCAGGGATGCTCTGTAACCTGCAGTACAGCTCTCTCACAGTCCACTGAACAAATCTTGCTGACGTCTATCACTGGCTCATCAGCCTTGGGGTCGTTTGTGCAAGAGTTGACAATGTCATCCACCATCTCATTTTGAAAATATCTGGCAAATCCGTCAGGAACGCAATCTCCAAGGGAAGAAACTAGGTAGAAAATTAGTGAGCAATTGGTTTTAGATTATCTATTGAATAATTTAATGTTAAAATGTTCCTTATTCATGACAGCTTTTTGTGTGTAGCGTAAGTTGATACAGTATATCATAAAACTACTCATTATATTAATAATGGAATTATTTTGTGTGTAGCTTTTAAATTTTATATATATATATGTATATATATATAAAAATATATATATATATATATATATATATATATATATATACACATATATATATATATATATATACACACACACACACATATATATATATATATATATATATATATATATATATATATA